TTCTAAAAATCAAGATACTACCAATAGAAAAAGAAAAATCTTGGCGGGGCTCAGAAAAATGCTAATTTTTTTCGCAAACTTCCATTACAAAAATCTTTTGATAAAAACTCATCATTTGGACCCAATATTATATCTCTGTAAGTTTCACGTGGGTCCCATGGTCTGAAGTTGAAATCCAGCATATCGAAAAATCCTGGATACGCCACTACGATAAACTCTTCTTTTGGTAGAGATGGTTAACTAAATCCTAATTGAAAAGAGAAAATTCAACAATTTAATAAATGAGCGACATTTATAAATTTCTTTTTTGCATAACTTATCCATTCTGATTCAATAATTCTTTATTATTATTTATTTTTTTTTTGTTTATAGCCAACAAAAAAGAGTCAAATATCACATTCAATCAATGAATCATTTGATACATTCCAAGTTTATATCGATAGTCTATTTTCTTTACCATCAATATCAAATATAAAATCAGTTCGTATTAGTGCTCGTCTTTGTTATGGAAATCAAACAAAAGCACGACAAACAACACGATCAATGTCATTTGTACGTAATACTTATCATAGTGAAAATGTTTCACTTAAACCTCAAATACGTTTTGATCAATGGCTTTCATTTGATGATGCACGTCTTTGTGAATTACAACGTGAAACACTTCTTTTATTTGAAATTTATGCAAGTTATAATGATGAAATTGATTCATCATCATCAATATGTGAAACATTTGATGGAATTCCAATGCGTCTTATTGGTTGGTGTTCACAAGCATTATTTGATGATGAACATTATCTTATTACAGGTGAACGTTATTTAGGTATATTTGATGCATTAACAACAAATCGTACAGGTTTTTATTCATTACGAAATGTTTTTGAACGTAATTGTCCCATATTAAGTGTTTCATTTCTTGATCAATCATTTGTTTGGCCACATGTTCAAGCTCGAAATGATAAACATCCAGGAAATTTTACTGAAATGAGTCGTGATAAACAAGAAAATTTATGTCGATTACTTAAACGACCAAGTTTAATATTAGTTGATCATAGTGCTATGACAACAAATGATAATCGTAAACAACAATATTCATCAAATACATCAGATGAAGGTATGAAAAAATAGAAAAGTACATTTCAACTAATCTATTAGTGTTAATTCAATGAAATTTCTAATCGAATTTTGATTAGGTAAAAAAAAATTCTCAAAAGAAAAAAGTCTTCTAAAAATTTAATGTTTTTATCATGAGCTAGCTACATATAGAAATATCCATCAAAAATACGATTTATTAGTATTATATCATTGGTAAATACATTAAATTATGATATTGATTCGAAAATAAAATAATCAATAGTAATTATTCATGATGAAATTCTTTATTTTTCTTTGTAAAATACATTTTTTATTTTATTTTATAAAAACGATTAAATAAAAATCTAAAATCTATTCATATTTAGAACGTGAATTTTCTGAAGATGAATGTCATTTTCTTTGGTCTCATCGTTATTTTGTAATTCATAAACCATATGCATTACCAAAATTACTTAAATCTCGTTGTGTATGGGATTATCCAAGTTTAATTGATATATATGGACTTATTAATGACGTAACACATGATCATACAATAGATGAAATTGAATCATTTGAACTTTTATTACCAGCTTTTCCTGATATGCATATACGTTCATTTGCATATCGATCATTAATATCACGTTTAAAATCACAAGATCTTCTTGTTTATTTACCACAATTATTACAAATAATTAAATTTGATTATACACATTCATCAATTATTATTGAATATTTACTTAAACAATGTTTAATTGATTATAATTTAGCACATAAATTGTATTGGCATTTACGACAATTACTTATAACAGAACATTTACATTATATACGTTATTATTATTTATTTTTATCATTACTTTATGTATTAGAAGAAAATTTTCGTTTAGAATTACAAAATGAATATGATTTATGTTTAAATTTAAAACGTATTGGTATAGAATTAAAAACAAATAAAACAAATAATAAATCAAAATTTTTAATTGAAGAATTAGAAGAATTTAATGATAGATTTTTTCATTCGGGTAAATTAACATGTCGTTTACCATGTCAATTTAATTTTATGACAAATAGTATTGATGTTAATTCATGTTCATTTTATAATTCATTAACAGTACCAATTAAACTTGTTTTTAATCCAATTGATTCATCATGTGAAAAATATTATTCAATTTATAAAATTGGAGATGATTTAAGAGTAAGTTGAAGAAATTAAAATTTATTTTTGTAATGAAATATAATCTAAAATAAGTATTGAAAATAGGAAAAATTTTTTATTTGTTCGAAAGATATAAAATTGAAGGACGAAATTTCGAATGAACAATTAATACTAGAGTTCAAAATCGAACCGAACTTAAGTAAAAGTAATCGTTCCCATTATACAATATATATTTTACTTATGATGTATTGAA